CTATAAAACACTGGTATAGAATGGAAGGTAGCAAATGTGATAATCGTTACAAATCTTCACACGCTGTGGAGAACTTAACAACACGCCTGTGGAGCTACATAAGTCACACAAACACGTAAAAAAAAATCCCAGGGAATTGGTTCCAGATATCACACGAACTGAATAAAACGATACACACAAAAATCCTGGCAAATATGGAAATCTTCAAAGTCATAGTTAATTATATAAATATGGATGAATTCTCTAGATCTATTCCGTTCATAGTTCCTCATATATTCAACATTCTGGTGTATACAACTGTGTCTTAAAGAAAACAAAATGTTTTATGCAGAACGTTGCTATGTATTTCTCATCATCTTCATCAGGCAAAGGAAAAAACATGCGGGGCTGTGGAATTCATTAACACCATGTTTTAATTGGTGGTTTAACAATTCCACTAAGCGCCATTTTTGGCCTTTAACTTTGTATGCCCCAGTCAACGTATAACAGACGAAGAGATTAGAACGTTCACGGAAACGTTCAGTATTGAACATTGCGTTTTCACTCGCGTACTTTGAACAGGTCGTGTTTATTGTATTAAAAATATGACTATCTCTAACTAAACAGACATGATAAGTGTGTTATAGCTGCGGGTGTGTGTTTGTTTCAGGTACAACCCGCACGTCTGAGATTATTTCCTAACTGCTGTTTATGATGAATAATAGGCCAAGATAACGTCATCATCATCAGTTTGAACTGGCCAAGTTCATCGGCTACCTAGGGAGCTAACCTCTCCTAGATAGCATTAGTTATAATTATGTCTCCTGTTCATGCTGTTATTTTATTGTGTGTTTTTTAGTGTTGTGGTTCTAGCTTCCCATATCTATTGAGCCAGGTTTATCTGCATGTTGTTTGTAGGGTCGTCATCTTAGTGCTGATTGGTCAGTTTGGTTCTCATCATGTTGCCAGATTATCTCGTCTCTGCCATTGATTGCTGTCCTCTGTTCCATTCTCATAATGTATCTGCTATTGTAGTCACTATGTTGACGTCAGTCAGATAGTTGTTCCCTCGTGTGATTTGTCGATGACATTGTTCAAAGATGACATGCTGACTAAGTACACTAATTATTCCTTCAGGGACGCGATGTAGTCACTGGGCTGACGCAGCTTCGAAACCGGTGTCAGACAGTACAGTATCGGTGCTGGATTTAGTCATAAGCTAAATACGCCAAGCTAAGGGCCTCACAATCTACAGGGGCCTTCTTAACTTCCTATTTACCCCAGCCCCTTTTTCTTTACAAATGCGATTTTTTTTCAATATATTTAAATGGCAAATTTCTTTTGATAGAGCCTTTTGGAGGATTACATAATATGATGTATGCGAATTGCATGCACATTCTTTATTATTTCCGTTACTTAAAATTAAACAACATATTTCTATCATCCATACATTTGAAAGGCGTTTACATTTTACAGTTTTTCTGAGACTGGCTGCTGTTATTTAAAACAGTAGGGGCCTCAGGTCTTTCGATAGCTTAGGGCCTCATCAAGTCTAAATCCGGCCCTGTATAGCTTTCATTTTTGTACTTATTACATACTACTTGCAATTATATGTACCACTTTCATTTATATATATCTGTCTGTTGGTCAGTACATGTTTGCGTATTTTCTGCCCTATTTGTACATCAACAACAGTCCCGCAGCAAATATTTCTGTGTCCGAAAGGGCTTCTCAGCAATTGACAATTATGTAGTAGGCGTGTTTGTTTTTTTGTATGTGGTTGTATGTTTTTGTATGTGTTTATATGTCATTGTATGTCTGTAATATCATGTGTCACCTGTCGCAGTGGTCGGCCTCTGCCGCTTCTTCACGGACCATGCCTCTCATTGATGCTCTTTCAAATCACGGTTGCATTAAAAATATATTTAATTATCAAGTTATAACATTGTATAGAAGAGCGGCTGGCCGAGCGGTTACAACACCAGGCTCTCATGCGACATACCCGAGTTCGACCCCTGTTAAGGTGAATCGTTTTTCTGTCGGGTGGGGGTGGGGGGGGGGGGGGGGTACATATATACACCCTGACGCGCACGGTCCGTGGTGTTTATCTGCAAGACTTGAAGTATCACCGCGATACCTGTTACGATTGCTAACTACAACAGTACTGTATAATTGGGAGTCACCGTGGCGGAGCGGCTAGACGCTCGCCTGCGGATCGGAAGGTCGTGGTTTTGCTCCCTGGCGGAGCCGGACTTTTAAATAAATGACCTTAGCACCCATGTCGATCCAGCCTTGAGTGGATACCGGGTGCAGTTCCGGGAGTAAAGGCGGCCGGCGTGATGCTGACCACATCACCCATCTTGTGCCGATTGATCTATAAAATATAGGTCTAGCCCTATACACCTAAAGGCGTGGAAAAGGGTCCTTTTACTTTTACTAGTACAACATAATTAGTGGCCGGCGGATCATCTTCAGTTGTATTATAGCAATGAGCTTTCTAAGCTGGTCTCTGCCTGGGGTCTCTGGCTCGGGTCTCTGGCTTGGGTCGATCTCCCTCTTCAAAGTGTTGGCCCCTGAGTGAACTCAGTTGACCTGTCGTGACCTATACAATAATACGACTGGTGTACTTACACTCGGCAGCACAGGTAGACAGGGTTTGAGAGCTAGCTGTTATGTTGAGGGGCACTGATAAAATGACAGTTTTTGTTGTTTCTGTTTTTAAAATATAATTTCATAAAGCAAAATACTGAAACACAAAGCATGCCAATTTATTACTTACTTTTACTTTTTCCTTCCACGTATGCCGCTAAGCGTTGTGGGGAGATGCAAGTTCCTGTCATAAGCAAGGCGGGCAGCATCTGATGTTCTGAGGCCATGCTTTTGGCAGGTTTCGGAGACCCCGTCAATCCACCGTTTCCTTGGTCTTCCTCTTGCCTTATATCCTGAGCTTCTTTGGTTGAAAATTTGTGATGTTATTTGATCATTTTTCATCCTGGTTAGATGTCCAAACCATTTCATTCTTTGATGTTCTATGTAGTCTAAACATGGCGTAGTTTTGACAGTGTTTCTAATGTCTATATTCTTTATCCTGTCTAGTCTGGTCTTGCTCGCTGCTTTTCTTAGACATTTCATTTCACAGGCTTCTATTTTTCTTTCATGGGTCTTGTTGATTGTCCATGTTTGGCACTGGTAGCAGAGTGTTGGAATGAAGATGGTGTTTATCAATTATCTTTTGGTCTTCATGGTTATATCTGGATGTTTAAGCAGAGGTGATAGTTGGTATGTGACAGCATTGCCAATTTATTACTTAATTGTAAAATGGACGGTGTTCTTAAATTACGCGCAAACACACGCGACTAGGAAAATGTGGTGGGAGAATAACGGAAGTCTCGTAGACTAGTTCCCTATATAGAGGGCGCTACCTCAATTAAGGGGGTGGGAGCTTCTGTGGTAAAATCCGTGGGGCGGTAAGAGACTCTGGTGCACTTGAGGGCAATGACTAAACATGCGGCAGCGGTGTAAACATAGATCAAATTGAATGTGTGGTAATGCATGCGTGTGCATTTGTATGCCTGTGTGCGTTTATGTATGTCTGAATATTATGTATGTCTGTTTATGGAACGGCCACATAGCTTTCATATTGATGTACAGATGGTATAACGATTTTGATAGCAAACATATATGATTAAATTAACAGCGGAAAAACAAATCCAAATAAAATTAAATCATAAATTAAATATCCTACGAAACAAACATGCGCACACAATTCAAATGTTTCCATTACATTCGTCTTCTTGGCTGACAGACAACCAGCGTCCTCCACGTCTCGTCGGAGATTAAAAACCGATACAAATATACAAAGTATGAGAAGTTTACTTAATTAAATTGGGTGTAAACAAATTAATCAACAATTAATTATCGCAAACGGTAGTATGCGAATGTTATCTAGTCCAAGTACTTACTTTACTCATGTAAATAACTACTCTGTCACATTGTGTTAGATAGTTTTATCGTGTGAAGTATTTTTACAGACTTATTTGTGTTTAATTGTGTTTCATTAATGTAATTTTAGTGCGTTTATTAGTAATTTGCTTACGTGTGAAAACATGAGAAATAAAACTAGAATGTCTTTACACTGGAACTCACAGAGGCAACGAAATAATGGCACACCAAAAACCACACGAGGAAAGAATCTAGGGAGTGAAGTGAATTTAACAAGAAAGGAGAAGAGCTGCAGACGGAAATAAAAATAGAAGAGGTGACAAATTTTGGTCAAAAGATATGCTATTCGCATAAAAACCATACATTGAGGCACACCTGATGGCAAGAGGCAGGCAGCAATACAAATGGGATGATAACATCAAGATATGGGCAAACAACAATTTGAGAGAGTGTACATTTGGGAACAAAGAAAGAGCGTGCTAAAGATCCATTGCAGCCAACCGTCACTGTGGAGACATCATCTGATTGATTGATTGATTGATTGATTGATTGATTGACCAAATGGCACAATCGGGACAAGAAAGAAGAAATAATTCAAGGGCCACCAAAACTGGGTCACTACAGTCTGGTGAGAGTGAGACAGCGAGAAATGATGGGGGAATCTGGTCGCTACTTGATACTTAGAGGAAAGACGAGACGGACCTATAATCAGAATGCTACTGGCACCATTGGAATTGGAACTCTGCGCTGGCTGCTGAAGATGTGGACGGAGCGCTTTTGGCAATGCCCCGAATGTTGTGACGTCAACTCAACTCAAACACACACACACACACACACACACACACACACACACACACACACACACACAGTTGATTCAAAGCCGTGATCAAGTGAGACAGCGAACACGGTCGCTACGTTAAACAGTAAAGTACATGATAATGATGAGATAGCTAAATCGATCTATATTACTCTTTGTTCTTCTCATAGTTTATACATTTGTGTTTGTTTTACTGGTATTCTTTACTGTCACCGAAAGAGGCCTTCTTGGTCGAAACATAACAGAGTCATTGTTCCGCGTCCTACAGGTCTGTTCCTGGAATGATTGGCTGCCTGTAGGCCACAGGAGAATTATAATACCCACTCCAGTCGATGTCATTGCCATATCCAGGAGAGATTTGGCTTCCTGAGTGCCAGCTTCTAGACAGAGGAACTTGATGAGTGGCTGAGGGCCAGTTACTAGGATGAGCTTTCTCCTCCCTCGCGGTTCTGCTCCACTGACCTCGTCTTCCCGTTGAATAGTAGTTTTCCCTGTTGTCCCGTTGACGGACTGGCCAGTTTTGGGCAGAGTTATCGGCCAAAGCTGATTCTGTAATGTTCTGCCAGGTTTTCATCTTGTTGTTGAAGTGTTCTCTATAAGAATCGGGTTCGTCATGGGTTGTCTCCCATGTCTTCATCTGGTTCTGGGCATCTGGCCTATAAGAATCAGATTCTTGCTGGACCGTCTGCCAGGTCGTAAGCTTGTTGTGTGAATCTTGTCTATATGAATCTGGCTCGTCCCGGACCTTTTGCCTGGTTTTCAGCTTGTTGAAGTCTTGTCTATAAGTATCGTGTTCGTCCTGAACCGTCTGCCTGGGTTTTCGCTTGTTGTTGAAGTCTTGTCTATAAGAATCTGGTTCTTCCTGGGTTGTCTGCCAGGTTTTCAGCTTGTTGTTGAAGTCTTGTCTATAAGAATCTGGTTCTTCCTGGGTTGTCTGCCAGGTTTTCAGCTTGTTGTTGAAGTCTTGTCTATAAGAATCAGGATCTTCCTGGGTTGTCTGCCAGGTCTTCAGCTTCTTGTTGTAGTCTTGACTATAAGAATCGGGTTCTTCCTGTGTTGTTAGCCAGGTCTTCAGCTTGTGGGAATCTTGTCTATACGAATGGGGCTCCTCCTGGGCCGTTTGCCAGGTTTTCAGATTTTGGCGGGCAGCTTGAGTGTAAGAATGGGGCTCATTCCGGGCCGTCTCTATGGCAAATGGTTGTCGTGGTTGAGAAATGTGGCGCAACTTGTCGTCTGATTGGTTAGACAAAGAAAGAAAAAAGTTAACATAAAACAAAAATGCTCTTCTGGAGAAGGCGTATGAATATGATTCCTTTATGACAGGACCAGGTGGAAAGCTGACCACATTACCCACATTGAGACGATTGGTCTATAAAATAAAGAACTAACTAGCCCCTTATGCCCAATACGTATAAAGGCGTGAAAAAGTGTCCTTTGCTTATATATATATATATATATATATATTACTACATTTACCCAGTTCCTTTTTAGGACAAAATTTTTTGTTATATGAAGCCCCACCCTGGCAATATAGGCAGGCCATAAATATGACCAATTTTCTGAACTCAGTTTCTGGGACCTCTCCACGGCGATCCTCATCCGCATGGTGGCACTTTGTGTCATCGGGTGTTTATCGCTTGTGTGATGTCACGGTGGTGTAGAAAGTCTGTCTCTGTCTCTCTGTCTCCTTTGCTTATTTCTTATTCTGCCTTTCTAGCTCCCAGTTAAGCATAGGCCCCCAACCAACTCAGGCCAAGTCGTTGTATCCTTTGCTATCGCATGCAGCTCTCTCCATCTTTCTAACTTTATTCTCCAGCTCAAATTTCCATGTTTTTTTTTTTTTTTTTTTTTGGGGGGGGGGGGGGGCGCTACCTTTATTTCTTTGCCCCTGTGGGTTCCTTACTGACGACATGACAATGGTACTTTTCTTGTGTAGGACAGCAGGTGACACCTGGCTGCTGTAGCCTTATCAGTGCCCTAATTATAACGTCTTTGAAGGTTGAACGAGCTTTCTGGAATCTGCCTTGTCAGTTTGCCATCCAGACTAAGATTTCAGACTAAGATCCTAGAACCCACACGGGAATTAACTTAATTGACTGGATGTTTTTTTTGTGTGTGTGTGGTAAATAAGGGACCCCCCCCCCCTTCCAAAAAAAAAAAAATTGTTCACATTTGCTTTGTTTTGTAACTAATGTGTTTTACTGGCTTAGATAGCCCACCCCAAGTCCAATCTTACCCTTGGTACGACATACCCAGTAGGGAGAGGGTGTTACACTTTGCTTTCTCTGATTTACAGTCAGAAAAACAAACATAAATAATATATTTATTAATTAAGTGGGTAGATTATTCTCACTGCACATCAGACCATTCAGTCTATTAGTGCTCAGCCCCCCCCCCCCCCCCCCCTCCCTATCACCACCCTCGCCCCAATCGCGTGTCGGTAAATCATACAGTGTATAGTTCCTGATGACACCAGTTCTGTTATGGTTTCTTATTTTTCTTTGACTTTCTGCGTGGTGCTCTTCTCGGGTTACAGGTTTTATACTTGGGTGCACAAGAGATACAATCCGCAGGGCAGTGCGCTATCTTCGTGATTCTCCAACAGTTGATGATATAATATAGATGTGCCGTGCACGTTCCTATCTCTAAAGTGACAATAATATATTAAGCTAATATCTTGAGCTGAAAACGGGACATCCAAAGCAAGTAAGTTTAACCCAGCGCCTTTTTTCTTTCTAGATCACCAGATTGAAAGGGTCAATTACTCACTTGACAATGGTTTAAAGACCTTAACATAAAAATATACTTTTAAATTCACCGGGGAAGGAAAAAAAACCCAGAAACTTTGCTACAATAAAAATTCTCATCAACAGATTTCTGGCATTAAAGGTATCTAAACCTATAAAATATTATAAGGGCTACATATACAACTTTAGGTGTATGTTCTGTTCTTGAACTAATTCCGTGCGGTTGCCGTTTTGTAGATTACCGACGGGACGGTGGTTGGACACACCCAAGAAACGGGACTGTCCCCTTTGACAACGGGACGTCTGGTCTCCCTACCTAGGTCGGAGTCAGCTCAGACAAACAACACCCGCTGCACAGTGAAATTAGGAAGAACAAAGGCAGCAGATTAAAACAAAGAATATCAGGATAGGTCAGGCCGAGGACATATGTCAGTAGGTGTGTTCACTTGACGACATACACCCAGACGAGGGCAGAATTAATACATGAACATGAAAAATCACACACTTACCAAATCTTGTTTCCCTGTCTACTGACCAGCCTCTCGCAGTACGGTTGAAATTGGCGCTCTTCGCAAGACTCGGCGATTCGTCCCTTGTAAGTGTCGAGCGAAAAGCCGTACGTTGTTGCGTTAAGTGAGGTGGGTTTCTGTTCACTGGTTGTCTTTGAGCGGTCTCCCACTCCGAAAGATTAGAAAAGGCGCTCTCTACATTCCCACCATAAGCCTCTGCCGCCTGCCATGGGGTGATCTCTTTGCGAGGAGTCTGTGACAGCATAGCCTCCAGTTTAGCAGAGGGCGCCAAAGCTTTGACAGTGGTGTCATCAATGATGAACTTGTCCGATCTCTTCTTCCGTCTCTCGAACAAACGTCCACCTCGACCTCTGAAGGATTTCAGATCTGCAACAATATCAAAACATATTTCACGACTTATCACGGTATGATCGCACTTTTTCGCATTAAGACGTAAGTCTTCAAATTGTATAAGAGTCAGTGCCATCTGGATTATTCCGGAAGAGACTGTGGTTCAAAAAAGACTCCCTAAAATACGGACTCGGCACTATTTATCCTTCGTCTGAGGTGAAATCGGTTTCCAAATCTTGTAAACTGGGCAGGTCCGTATTGAAAGAGGAAAATTCACTAAGAGAACCGTGCATACATCTGTTTGATTTGGCCAGTCGTTTCATGAAGACTCTGGCACCACAGAGAAAGAAGTTTGCCGCTGACGTCAATGATTGGGCTATTTTCTGGCATAACTGTATCCGCTCTGTGATGGTGGGGTAACTCTTGCTTGGGATGTCGTTAAAAAAAAACGGTATCCAGATAGACATATCCTGTATGACATGGAGATAAAGCAAGGCGATATCAGCGTGATGGGAAAGATGGCAGTAGTCCAGACACGTGCGGCCAGACACACAGAGTTTGAGGCAGATGATACACATCTACCTGACTACATGCTGGCGATGCATTATTACCAAGAATGTTGGATCTTTTGACGTGTTGTACACATAATGCTCACATTGACACACGCACACAATAAGTTCGGGTTTTATTGTTTAAAAAAAAACACACACACACACGCACACAATATGTTCGGGGTTTATTGTAAAACACACACACACGCACACACACACACGCACACACACACACGCGCCCACACACACGCACACACACGCACAGTCGTTCGCACATTCTTTAAATCAGTCTTTAATTATTTCCTTTCATTCTTTCTTCAATTTGCGTTCCTATTAATGTTTCACTTATATCACACACACACACACACACACATACAAACACAGAGATGGAACGATAGATGATATGGAGAGAGAGAGATAGAGAGAGATGGAGAGAGAGATGGACAGAGATGGGGCGAGATAGGAGAAGACAGAAACACACACATACAAACACAGAGATGGAACGATAGATTTAGAGAGAGATGGAGAGAGAAATGGACAGAGAGAGGTGGAGAGAGATTGAAGAGAGATATGGAGAGAGAGAGATAGAGAGAGATGGAGAGAGAGATGGACAGAGATGGGGCGAGATAGGAGAAGACAGAAATTGAAAGAGATGGCGAGAGCGATAGAGAGATGGACAGATTTGGACAGATGGAGATAGAGAGATGGAGAGAGATAGAGAGTGGGAAATGAAGAGAGGGAGAATGGATAGAAATGGAGAGAGAGATGGACAGAGAGAGATGGAGAGAGAGATGGACACAGAGAGATGGACAGAGAGAAATTGACGGAGAAAGAAGAACAGAGAGAGATGGACAGAGAGAGATGAATAGAGAGAGATGGAGAGAGAGATGGACAGAGAAAGATGGAGAGATGGACAGAGAGAGATGGACAGAGAGAGATGACAGAGAGAGAGAGAGAGATGACAGAGAGAGATAGATCAGCAGAGAGAGATGGACAGAGAGAGATGGACAGATTTGGACAGAGGAAATGGACAGAGGGAATGGACAGATGGAGAGAGATAGTGGGATATGAAGAGGGAGAAATGGATAGAGATGTAGAGAGAGATGGACAGAGAGAAGGACAGAGAGATATGGACTGCGAGAGATGGACAGAGAAAGATGGACAGAGAAAGATGGACAGAGAGAGATGGACAGAGAGAGATTGGCAGAGAAAGATTGACAAAGAGATGGACAGAGAAAGATGGACAGAGAGAGATGGACAGAGAGAAATGGACAGAGGGAGATGGACAGAGAGAGATGGAGAGATAGATGGAAACAGAGAGATCGACAGAGAGAGATGTACAGAGAGAGATGGACAAAGAGAGATGGACTGAGAGACATGGACAGAGAGAGATGGACAGAAAAAGATGGACAGAGAGAGATGTACACAGAGAGATGGACAGAGAGAAATGGACGGAGAGAGAAGGACAGAGAGAGTTGGACCGAGAGAGAGATGGATAGAGAGAAATGGAGAGAGAGATGGACAGAGAAAGATCGAGAGATGTACAGAGAGAGATGGAAACAGAGAGAGATGGAAACAAAGAGATGGACAGAGTGAGGAGAGATGTACAGAGAGAGATGGACAGAGAGAGATGGACAGAGAGAGATGGACAGAGAGAGAGAGATGTACACAGAGAGATGGACAGAGAGAAATGGACGGAGAGAGAAGGACAGCGAGAGATGGACAGAGAGAGAGATGGATAGAGAGAAATGGAGAGAGAGAGAGACGGACAGAGAAAGATGGAGAGATGGACAGAGAGAGATGAAGAGATGGACAGAGAGAGATGGACAGAGATGGAGAGAGAGATGGAAACAGAGAGATGGACAGAGAGAGATGTACAGAGAGAGATGGACAGAGAGAGATGGACAGAGAGAGATGGACAGATTTGGACAAAGGAAATGGACAGAGGGAATGGACAGATGGAGAGAGATAGTGGGAGATGAAGAGAGGGAGAAATCGATAGAGATGTAGAGAGAGATGGACAGAGAGAAGGACAGAGAGATATGGACTGCGAGAGATGGACAGAGAAAGATGGACAGAGAGAGATGGACAGAGAGAGATGGGCAGAGAAAGGTGCACAAAGAGATGGACAGAGAGAGATGGACAGAGAAAGATGGACAGAGAGAGATGGACTGAGAGAGGGACAGAGAGAGATGGAGAGAGAGATGGAAACAGAGAGATGGACAGAGAGAGATGTACAGAGAGAGATGGACAAAGAGAGATGGACAGAGAGAGATGAACAGAGAGAGATGGACAGAGAGAGATGGACAGAGAGAGAGATGTACAGAGAGAGATGGAAACAGAGAGAGATTGAAACAAAGAGATGGACAGAGAGAGATGTACAGAGAGAGATGGACAGAGAGAGATGGACATAGAGAGATGGACAGAGAGATAGATGTACAGAGAGAGATGGAAACAGAGAGAGATGGAAACAGAGAGATGGACAGAGAGATGTACAGAGAGAAATAGACAGAGAGAGATGGACAGAGAGAGATGGACAGAGAGAGATGGAAACAGAGAGAGATGGAAACAGAGAGATGGACAGAGAGATGTACAGAGAGAAATAGACAGAGAGAGATGGACAGAGAGAGATGGACAGAGAGAGATGGACAGAGAGAGATGGACAGAGAGAGATGGACAGAGAGATGTACAGAGAAAGATGGACAGAGAGAGATGGACAGAGAGAGATGGACAGAGAGAGATGAAAACAGAGAGATGGACAGAGAGAGATGTACAGAGAGAGATGGACAGAGAGAGAGAAGGACAGAGAGAGATGGACAGATTTGGACAGAGGGAATGGACAGATGAAGAGAGATGGTGGAAGATGAAGAGATGGAGAAATGGATAGAGATGTAGAGAGAGATGGACAGAGAGAGATGCACAGAGAGAAGGACAGAGAGAGATGGACTGAGAGAGATGGACAGAGAATGATGGACAGAGAGAGATGGACACAGAGAGAAGGACAGAGAGAGAGATGGACTGAGATGGACAGAGAGAGAAGGACAGAGAAAGATGGACAGAGAAAGATGGACAGAGAGATAAGGACAGAGAGATGGACAGAGAAAGATGAACAAAGAGATGAACAGAGAAAGATGGATAGACAGGGGGAGAGGTGGAGAGAGATGGAGAGACAGGGGAGAGAGATGGAGAGACAGGGGGAGAGATGTGGAGAGAGATGGAGAGACAGGGGGAGAGAGGTGGAGAGAGATGGAGAGAAAGGGGGAGAGAGGTGGAGAGAGGTGGAGAGACAGAGGGAGAGAGTTGGAGAGATGGAGAGACAGGGGAGAGAGGTGGAGAGAGGTGGAGAGAGGTGGAGACATAGATGGAGACATGGATGAAGACAGAGAGAGATTCACAGAGAGATGGAAAGAGATAGAGTGGGAGATGAAGAGTTGGGGAGGTGGAGAGAGAGATGGAGAGAGAGGGGGCTGAAAGAGATGGAGAGAGAGATAGAGATGGAGAGAAAGATAGAGAGAGACGGAGAGAGAGAGTCTTAACATAACTAGACGATGAATGTTTGACTCGGAAACATGCCAACGATAAACCATATAAGTATTAAATCTTATGAAGGGGTAAAATGTCCAGACTGAGTGACGTTGGTGTTTGTAGGCGATCATGATAGGAAAGAACTCATCCCAAACGTTACCAGGGCTTTCGGAAAGTAATGTCTTCTATCGAAAACGTCACCGGCCTGCTTCACTGAGTTCACACATAAGGCGTGCAGTCATGTTAACGTCAAAGATTCATTACTATCTACCAGTCTAGTCTGTGTAGTGTTGATGATATGTGCTCTGTCTTTACATCGTCCCGCGAGTAGTAGTGCAGTCCTTGTCAGCTAGTCCGCTCGTTCATTGCCTTTTACTCCGACATGACCAGGTGTGTAGATCCAGGTGAGGGAGGTCAAGTGCGACACAGTAAGTCATACTGTCAGTGAATTTCAAATAGTTTGCACAGTTTGCTAGAGAGAGAGAGAGAGAGAGAGAGAGAGAGAGAGAGAGAGAGAGAGAGAGAGACAGACAGACAGACAGACAGACAGACAGACAGAGAGAGAGGTGCATTACTTTCTGAACGCTCGTAATTTTTTATTTATTTTTGACATTTTCTGTTCCAATTTCTAACAACAAGTGCGTGTTCTCAACCATCCACCCTACTCCCCCGGATTTGTCTCCCGTGACTATTTTGTATTCCCAAAATTAAAGTTGTATTTGAAGGGACCCTTCTTTGACGATACTGATGACACACAAAGGGCCGTAACATCGACTTTAAGGTGTTTTAGGGGTAATGATAGACAAACCAGCACAAACCCTAACTTTAAATACCCTATACAATAGGCATGATTTGATTTTATATAGTTTATATATTGTACATATGCTTGATAGACTATACAAAAGCATTTGACTGTGTAAAGCATGAAAAAGTAATCAAACTGTTAGAAAACTTAAACAT